ACTTTACCGTAATGAAAAGTGGTGATTTTTTAATGTTTATACGAAATTATTTATACTGAGAAAAATATCAGTATCCTGAGATAACAAATACAAGTAAATCTTCTCGAAAGTTAGCATCCATATTTTTAAACGTGTTAAATCGCAAACCCTTAAATATATCGACTTAAAAACAAAGTGACTTATGCCACTTTCAAAATAAACGGCTCATTTAATGCTAATTCGACTGAATCAAAAGCTTTAATATTACGAAATCTTGTAAAACGTTTGGCGTGGCGGTCGATATATCAACCTAACAAGAATCAGTATTTAGTCGACTACATATTGAAATATAACAAATTTTAAAAACTATTGTTTTTCGACTAACAGTCAAGGTCATCTTGACTTTTTTAAACGACACACTATATTTTTGACTTCGAAAGCTATTTTATTTCATTCAAATTACAATAAGTGCCATTTTCTATCAGGGCCATATTGTTCGTGATTTCAAGGTCGACTAGTATTTTATAATTTGATAAAACATTTTCTTATTTTCTTTCGTATAAGAGAGAACTCTGGCTCACATCTGGGCGACGCGTACGCCTTTCCAATTACCAATAATAATTGCTCGCCAGCAGAAATTCGCGGGCACTTTGCTCTGTGAACGGACATTCTTTGCCCAGTGCGGTCGTACCCTCAAATAATTCAAAGGTTTGTTGCATTTCAGACGGTACATGCATTATGACCGGTTACACGGTGGAAAACGAGCCAGCGACGTGCGATTGGACGGATGAAGAGGTCCTGCGATACTTCACGTCGAGGATGTGGGACGTGGAGCAGGAGGAGGAGGAGGAGGAGAACGACGAGGACTACATCGACGGCTCGTTTTCGAATCTGAAAAGCCACGGGGAGGCCTCCTCGGAGCCGGTGCACCGCGATATCGGCGAGATATTGATCGCGGACAGCTTTGTCTCTGTCCTGTTGACATGCCGCGCCGAGCACAAGAACTACGCGACGGTGTTCTATGATCAGTCAGCAGTTAGCTGCACCCTATCGATGCCCGACGATCTTCGAGTCAGCATATCGAGAAGTGGTCATTACAAAGTTTCGATGGCGGACGGAGTTAATCTAAAGGTAATCGAAACCAGCGGGATGAGATTTCCCCGGGAAGCCGGCTATCTAATGCGGAGGAATCCCGGCTCGGACGGTGACACATATTTTATACCGCGATCCCAATAAACTTCCTCAGGGATTGTCCTGCGAAAAACTCGTTCACGATTCCCTTGGTCATATAACTCTCTATAAACAATGATCGTTGGACTGCGGATTCGATTTAACGATCATGTTAAATTTTTTTTCAATTTTATTATACATATATTTGATAGATCCCCCTTTGAAATCTTAAAAATCTTCGTCATATGCTTGTTACCGAGATCTTATTATTAGTTTTGTTAATATTAAAAGGTTTTTTTAAAAAGTAAATTTTTCAAACTGATTTTCCACCGCTAGGTGTGTGAGTAAAACTAGATTCACGCATAGTGGCGTGAATCACATCTTCCTCGCAGTGAGAAATAAGAAATGTTATTGTTGACTAACATGGATATCGTTTACTGATTAAATTTATTGTTAAGATAATTTAGAGTTTATAATATTGTTCGCTAGTCTTTTTAACATTTTATCTGTTTTCATTATATTACGAGCCGAGGGCCAGGCAGGTTGGCTGGCCGAAGGTTGCATGCAATTGGGATTTTTGATAGGGGTGCGTAGACCAGCCGATGCTTATTTCGGCACGGGTGGCTACCTTTAAGGTTAGAGTAGAGTGGTAGAAAGACAAGATCCCTGAAGAATACTTAATTTCCATACAAAACACTTCTCTGCCAGATTTTCGAAAATATCTTAGAAATAATAGTTATTCTGAAAGAATACGCGATGTATATCACGTATCGCTTAAAACAACATAATCAATGATTGATTTATTTTAAGTACAGCCTTATGAAAAAGATTCGCATTTTCTTACTTTATGCCACTTTCCCATCCCCACAACATTTTATTTGTCTGATTCATCTTCCTTCTCGTACACCATATGACTCGCTCCTAACGAGAGTGTGCAAAAGAACTGCTACTATCAGTCAGCTTACAAATACTTGCTGAACTAGCTAATGATGTCAAACCTCTTCTGGGTGGCGACAGAGTATCTCTATTTATCAGTAACTCAACCACACGAGAGTAATCTCGTCAACTAGCAGTAAACAAAATTGTCTTGCCACCATCATCTTTATTATTAAAATAGGCATTTTTTCATTTAGCAGAAATTTAACTATCTCCAAGTGACCATAGTTAGTAGCCAAGAGCAAAAGTCTCTCATCATCATCATCTTTAGTATTAAAATCGGCCTTTTTTTCATTTATCAGAAATTTAACCATGCCCAAGTTACCAAAAGCAGCAGGTAAGGCTAGGTTGGGTGGCCGGAGGTTGCATGCAATTGGGATTTTTGATAGGGGTGCGTAGACCAACCGATGCTTATTTCGGCACGGGTGGCTACCTTTAAGGTTAGGATAGGGTGCGTAGACCAGCCGATGCTTATTTCGGCAAGGTAATATTCAGTTTTAAGGTAAGGATAGTATTTGGAGAAATTGGTATTAAGCTGCCTCATAACTTTGCAAGAAGAGAAATAAAGATATACCTCGAGCAGTAAATATATATCTTTGTGGGTTATACCAACTACTGCTTCGAAATAGGAGATGGAAATAATTGAACTCGTAACCAAAGAAAACTGGTAAAAGCTAATTTATTACGCGTTTTGTGTGTGGGTTTTTACAAATATATGTAGATGTTCGCGGACTCTATCGCGCTCTCAGCTTTTCGCACCGAGTCGGCGGGGGTTTCTGATTTGATATCTAATTACCTACTAGATTGTTCGAAGGAGAATTAAGACTCGATCTCACTAGAGTTTCCACGTCGACGAATGACTCGAAACTAGCCCGATTTCTGGTCGCGTTTGGGCTCTTTATATAGCCAGATTTTCTCTGGGAAAATGGTAGTGGGGGTGTTCTTATGGTCCGATTCCAGAAACGTTCGTCGTCGTACCCCCTTGGAGGTACTCGACTCGCGATATACAAATGAACCCCCGGCTGGCTGGCGCCAGCCTGGCGTATGCCTTCGGGAAGGAATATAAAAAATTCGTGGGAAGATTCTCCGTACGTTACAATTATCATGATATGTTTTTTTAATTATTGTATTATATTATTACTATTTTATTATTTCACATTCTGTTAATGTATTTATATAAACGCGGACACTATTTCATTTGTAACGGAACAGATTAATAAAGTAATGCTAATATCGAATAAAAATTGAAAAATGTCTGTTTTAAGCTATAATGAAGATTGAGACAAAAATTCTTAACGCGATTAAAATTATTGCGTACAAAATTTACAAACTATTTCAATTTATTGTCATCAAAGTTACTGTACTGACAAAGACAAGTAGGTCAGACCCAAAACTCTAGGGGCATCAGAAAAATGTGAGCACTTGTTTCAAAGGATTTAAAATAAGTTAAGGACTTATTTAAGAATTTACAATAATTTAGGCATTTATTTTCAACTTATGTCAACTTTATCTTGCATAAAGATCCGCAGTCTAATTATGATGCATGCTCGACTTATGAAATCAATTCGATCATTCTCTGTGAAAGAGACTGTCTAATATCTTTAGAATCGATTACAGTAAGTTTAGTTAGCGTTAAACACCCTGTGTTGCGTCAGACAACGCGCTAGACGCAGTTCATGGAAAATCAGAGACGAACACATCCAAGAAAACAGAACACAATAACAGGAGACAAACGTCGTGTTAGTATCGAGTATCCGTCAACTCATCGACACCGTTCGAATTTCCATTAGATCGAGGAAGAGGCCCTGTCATTCGAGGGCAACACGTGCGCCACTTGTGGCAGCCGGTCAACGTCCACCTACAACTTTTACCCTCTGGAGGTGAAGCGCGTCGTATTCAGAAGCGTCGACGTCTCTGGAAATATCTTCGAGGTGAGAGACGACGGGGCGACCCACTATCGTCGCAGAAGACAGCAGAAGTTCGGTTCGAGCGCGAACGTTGCCGAGGACGAAGGCGATGACGAAGAGGAGGAGGACGGGTACATAGGAAACGAAAACTTCGAGAATGACTGCGATCACAGCGGAGGTCGCGAGGCCGGCGGACGCAGGCTGTTCTCGATGAATCGTGATCTGACAGCTTACGAGTACCATCATCGATCGACCACCGACCACGTGGAGGCGGCCAATGTTCTCGATAACGAGACCAGCGGCGTGATCTCGTATCCGGCAGCGCGACGATCGAACCTCGGTCGGCTGATTACGCTCGAGACGCGGAAACCTGAGTCACGATCAAAGGCAGCGCTATCATTTCGGGTTAGATAATCGGAATAGTTTGCCGCCGTTTGTTTCCCAGAATACCACGGTCGCCGCACGGTTGCTTACTTGGGCAAAGTAGCCTTTGAATTTCAGCCAACGGGAAAAGAAAATTGCGGGGACGCGGAGGGAATTGTACGATCTCTGGTTGGTCTTTTTCGTTCGGGGGATAAGACGGGTTGGATCAGAATTCGGTATTATTCGTATACAGTTTTATTCGAAATATCTTTCGAATGAATTGGTCGAATATTTTATTCGAAACGTTATTCGGATAAAATGTTATTCGAAGAATTTATTCGGAATATTTCACGAATAAGATTTTATATGATATATTATACGAATTAAATTTTGTTCGAAGATTTTATTCGAGATAATGAACAAAGTATCGATCGAAGAATTTAGTCGAGATAATATACGAATAAAATTTGATTCGTAATATTACTCGAATAAAGTTTGATTCGAGAAATATTTCGAATGAATTCTTCGAATAAAATTGTATTCGTTATACGTTGTACGAGTAAAAGCATTGCTAACAATATTTGAGAAACTATTGGAAATAGTTCGTGAAATACTTTATTTGACGAGAGATAAGAACACGTATTGAAAACACAGCTGTTTATATCTTGGTCAAGGAAATTATTAACTGAAATAGTATTTTCTCAAGGTGAACTGGAAATAATTCTTTGAAATAGTATTTCATGTGTCTAAATTTCTATTAATTATTTGAGATTCTTACGATTAATATCTATGACAGTAAGTAAACAAACCTATAGGAAAAGTAGAAAAGTGAAAAATTGCTGTCCGAATGGTCGTACGAGCGTATTTGTTTGTTGTAATAACAATGTAATAATTTTGTTGAGAATAGGAATGCAAAGTGAGGCCGACGAACTTCGACAGAACGGATTTGATCAGAAGTACATATGCCATTCCGTACGACTGGCTGTTTCCTTTCGGGAGGAAAGGCAACGGGATTTGGAAGAACACACATGACCAACCGTTCCGTTGTGAAACAGATAACAGTATGCCGAAATTATTGGAGTTACGTGTTCTGTATGGTTTCAAGAAGCCCGGAGAAAACGCGGTGATAAATATACAAAGGGCCCTCGGCCGCTATTGGATGTCCGTGAGTGAATTCATGATCTTTTTATGGGACCACCGATTAATGAAACTGAATCTGAACTCTTTTGCATCTTAACCATCGAGTCTGTGTCAGACTGTCATTAAGATATACCGTGTCAAAAAAATTACAGCAAAGAAAAATTTTCGTTAAAAATTGGCCAACTTTGACTAACGATAACTCCACGAAAAATCATCGTGGGATGACGACTATTTTCTTTAAAATTCGAGCTTGAAACCTCTGTCTTAAGATACTGTTTCTGGATTTTAAGTTTGGCGCAGCCTCACCACTGTAACCATTCAACTGTGAGACGATGTTTCAAAATGTTATATAAAATACGAAAAGAAAAACAATTATTACGTGATTCGCTAATATTTTGCGCGAACACAGATCACTTACTTCGATATGTTTCATTATGTTTCGATACTCGTATGAACGGTCAATGCATTCACGTATCGAAACATTTATTTTCACACGAAAATGCAGAAACATTCACGTTTTCTGTAACAAAGTGACATGCTACCGCTACAATATTCACAGCTGTCGAGAACGAGCAGGTGCAGCTGATGAAGCTAGAGGTGAGCAACCATGTCTGTACTATATTGATCAATAAAGAATTCCCCTCGTAATTTGTCCATCGAACGTAAGAGTTCCAAGTTGCATCGAACCAGACGACTGCAACAGTTTCTGAATTGTTCAGGATATATGGATAAATAGCAATATAGATTGCAACAATAATCTACAGCCTGCGTTTCCTATTTTCAACGCAGTTATCTTTTTCAAAACATTTTCTAGGTAGTATTATATAATCTTCCGGAAAACGTTTTTCTAGGAAGTGCACGCTTAAAACGTTTTCTGGTAGTGTACATTTCAACCATTTTTCTGGATATTGTAATTGTTTCGAAAATATTTTGCAGTGTTATCAGACAATGCAATCTTTTCTATATCATTTTTCTAAATAACATAATTTAGTTTTCAAAGCTGTCACGGAAAAAGGAATTCAATTGAATAAATTGATAAATAAAGAAATAACAAAGACATTACCCAATCTTAAAGACTAAAATTTTAACTTGCTCGTTCGTCGCAGTCAAGGTAAACAAAAATCAATTTGAACGCAACTGGAGACTGGCGACACCAACTTAGTAATTTATTCAGAAATCGATGAAACGATTCGAATAATCGATGTTGCAATTAGTTAGTCAGTGGTATCACGGTGTCCGTGACACCGAGCGAAGACGTGGATACCCAGGCAGAAACTAAGCCAGTTTTCGAGTCTTTGGAACGGGATCTACGGGATTTATCGTTGGGTATCAAAAAGACGATCGACGTGACAACCTACAGAAGTGCCGTAGAGAGACCTGAGCAAGATTTGGAGGCAGGAACGAAGGCACCACGAAAATCGATCGAATTCAACGAATTACTGAAGCAGAAGGCCACGAAGAGGGAAGAACTCGAATGGTACAGACGTTGCTTCAAGGAGAAATTCTATCTACCATACTTTCAGAATATCACGGGAGCGTGTTTCCTTTGGGTCCTGGAATGCGTGGAGAACGCCCTGAAAAGATCGCTGGTGACCTACTCGTTTGAGGGCCTCGACGATAGCTTTCGACGAAGCGAGGGGGACGAAGAGACACTCTGGTAAATTCATTGGTCTAATTGTCACGTTTATGGTCCCAACATTTTCGACAGACACTCCGAGAAATTCATTGGTTTAATTGCCACGTCCCTAGCATTTTCGATGCTAGCACCTTTCCAGCGAGGTTACTTAACCTTTTAGGCACGACGCGCCACTATAGTGGCTTCCGCGGATATCATCTTTTAGAACGACACGCCACTATAGTGGCTTTCGCGGATGTCATCTCTCTGGACGACGCGCCACTATAGTGGCTTGCTTTAGTAGCTCACTCGGTCATCGTTTGAATCAAATAATCGTCTTCATATCCATTGTTTCACACTTCTTTTGTCTTCGCATCGATTTACAACAGTCTACAGTGTGTCCCAAAAATGTCTCGCAATCCGGAAATGGCGGGTTCCTCGGATCATTCGAAGCAACTTCTTCCTTTACAAAAATTTTCTCCGAGGCACCGTTAACGAGTTATTAACGAAAAACAGTGCGCCAATAAGAATCGAGTACGGCTGACGCGAGGCGGCCCAGCCAACCAGCGCGCGAAGCCCAGTTCCGCTCATTGGCTCGGTCGCCTCGCGCCACCCGAGCTCGTCTCCCATTGGTCACTGTTTTTCGTTAATAACTCGTTAACGGTGCCTCGGAGAAAATTTT